TAGACGAGTACAAATACCGCGTGATATTTGTACTCGTCTATGGCGTTATTTCTACTCATCTAGGTGTAGTTGGATAATAATCACCAATATTCACTTTGCCTTCGGCGAATAATTATTAAATATTCTGATTGGCTACAGTTCTTGTTATGGGTATCTTGATGTAAGCCTTGTTCTTTAAAATCCTCCTGTGTTACAGCTGTCATGTGATACAAATTCATGGGACAGTTATCACACCATAACCCTTGTTTACCTGTTGACATTAATTTCTTCACCCATATTTTCTGTCTAAGAGAAGCAGAGCCATTGGGTGAAAGCTAGTCCAAGAGTTTTACTTTTTCATCTTTATTATTTTTCATTTTTGTGGAGTCCAGTGGTAGTTACATGAAAAAGCTGATCTCAAATGCTGCACCAGAAAGTATTTAAAAGTTAACAAGAGTTGCTTTCAACCTTGGATACAAAGATTAATAAGAGGGTTTTTTAAATAGATAAACCCCCTTCTGGCCTGATTTTATGTAGCTGATAATGTCTTCAGATGAGACATTGTCCTCAAAATTTTGCATTTGCCCATGAAGCTTTGCTTCTCAGTGAAATGTTCATTTTTCAGACAATAATTATCTCGGGTGCACGCATTATGAGCTGAGGTACTTAAGGAAGTTATTTACTAAATAATTTCATTCCTGTAGGAAGCCAGTTTTAGTTGCTCAAATGCTGTTTTTGGAGGCTGTTGGCTCACATGAACTGGTGTCTCTATAATCAGTTATTCCAAATTTACTTGAATAAGTACAGTGGTGCTTATTTAATTTTTTAGGCTTCAAATGTAGTGGTTATTCAAGGGTTATATTATCATCCAACTTGCTCAAATGACTGGGTGGACTTGGTTGTGACATATAAAATGATTATGGCCACTGGTTTACAAGTGGCAACAGAAATGAGTGATTGATATATTCTATCTTTTTTTTTTCAGGTTCCAGAACAGCTCATGAAACTTGATGAACAAGGGGTGAGATTTATGTTGTAAGAAATTTAATCACCTACTGTTTGTATTTTAAGGAGTGGCTTTATTCAGCAATTGTCTGACTTAATTGCATAATATTTTGTATGTTTGTTTGTTTTTTTCAGATGACCAATCAGTTTAAAGTTGGTGTGTTATATGCAAAAGATGGCCAGAGTACAGAAGAGGAGATGTATAATAACCGTGAGTTATACTGTAAATTAAGAGAAATTCTGTGAAATTTTATTTGTGGAAAACACAAGGCTGGCTATTGTGTTTGAAGAAAGGGGGGTGAGTTTCTAAAGAGAGTATGGTGAGGTAACTTTTGTTTTTATTAACAAGCCATTTTCAATAAATTAAGATTCTAACATGGCTCTGAGGCAAGGAGGAATAAAACAAAAGAAATTTATTATTCATCTCTCAACCTTGATGTGATTTCTTTTGTTTTATTCCCCCAAGCCTTGGAGCCAAGTTTGAATTGTAGTAAATTGAAAGTGGCCTACTGAGTTGATAAAGAAAAGCTGCATGGCCACCGTAAAAAGTTTCAAAGCTCTTGTTTGAGCCTAAGCCCTTTTGCACTGATGAAGGGCTAACACTCAAAATGTCTGGCTTTGAAACCTCGTAAATTGGTGTTTGAAAGTTTGTGAAACATCCTATTGATCCTCAAAAAGCTAAGGGAAAAGAGGCAAGTTTATGTAAAGAGAAAGTAATGTGGTGTTAATGATATTTTATAGGAAGATGATAATAATAATAATGTTTATTTTAACTCAAGCTTATAATGAATGCCAAATGAAGGCTAATGGAATTCATGACTTAATAGTGTAACTCCAAAGGTACAGAAGATGTAGATGCAGAAATTGTTGTTCTTCTCTCCATGGCAACCTGAATGATCACAGTGCGCAGCACAGCAGGTGTCAATTATTATTTTATATCTTATTGGTTTATCACATTTTGGTTGTCTTCATTCCATAGAAACATCAGGTCCAGCTTTTGAAGAATTTCTTGACTTGATTGGGGAAAGGATTGCTTTAAAAGGATTTGAAGGTTATAGAGCCCAGTTGGATAACAGAAGTAAGTCTTACAATGAGTGAAGTTGTCCTTTTTTTTTTAGAACCCCTTGACCCTTAAGAGTGATAAGGATCTAAATTCTTCTTACAATATCACCCCTAAATCACACATTAAGGTCAAAAGAATAAAGGAAATGATCACCAACTAGATGAGCTCTTGATTGTTAAATAAATTCTCTTTGTCAGCACCTTACGAAATAATATAGAAATCAGTATAGAGAATAGGCATACTGATCTTAGGGTCTACAGAGTTGGTAGCTAACTGTTCATTTTTGCCTGGCAGATGACTCCACTGGGGAATCTTCAGTGTACACACAGTTCCAAGGACGCGAAATTATGTTTCATGTATCAACCCTTTTGCCTTGGACTCCAAACAACAGACAGCAGGTAATGCAGGCACATGTATTTAACAATAAGACTCCATTTTGCTGTGCATCTTTTTGGTAGTGGATCACAAGTGACATCAAAAGGTCGAAAGAACAAATAAAGTGGCACACAAGGCACAAGCGTGTCACTGACACAAAGGTCGAAAGAACAAAGAAAGTGGCACAGAAGGCACAAGTGTGTCACTGACACTCTTACCACATTTTGACTCATTCTGTGATTTATTACTGAATACACCGAATGCAAATATGGCGACCAATTTGAGTTGTCATTGTTCTGGACTCACTAGCCTCTCACACATGTAATAATCCTTTCATGAAGACAAGGCTATTGAGTCCAGAACAATGGCAATTCAAATTGGACACCATATTTGCATTCGGTGTATAGACCCATGGCAACATCGATTTGATTTGTTTGATATGATAATTATAAAAGTAAAATGTTGTTAATGGTGATGTTATCTACAGTACTTGTCTGTCCTTTACTAGGTTAAGTTTGCTTATGTTTTGTGTTAACACAACCAATATTCATGATCAACCAAACATTTTAGATTTATGTCAACCTTGGTGACATTGGACAACAATTTTTATATAATTATGATGTCTTAAATCTTTGTCTTCTTGTTTTGCAGCTTCTGAGGAAGAGACATATTGGAAACGACATTGTGACCATTGTGTTCCAAGAACCTGGTGCTCTTCCATTTACCCCAAAGAACATCAGATCTCATTTCCAACATGTTTTTATTGTGGTCAGAGTTTTCAATCCTTGCTCAGACAACACATACTACAGGTATTTTTGTTGATATTTTTCTAATTATAGGAAACCAAAGAACACAATCGATATATGGTTTGTAACTACATATGCATTCCTTTCTGTACCAAGGGTTGCTGTTAGCCGTTCAAAGGATGTTCCTCCATTTGGGCCTAATATTCCTGCTGGAGCAAAGTTTGGAAAGACAAAGGCCTTTGCAGACTTCCTTTTGACAAAAGGTAGGATTATTTTAGTCTGCAGCATCAAAAGTTATGAAATTCTTATGGCAATACCTTAAAAGGAAAAATAAAAGTGGAAACTATAATTATAATATTATAGTTTTTATATTCCAAGGATTATTTGAACAATGTTAACTCCTTTACATTCACAGATTTTTAAATAATGAATTGAGATTACATACTGAGATTACACATAGGATAACTTTGTAATTTTCTGTCTCCTCAAAAGTATAAAGAGTTTAATCAATTGTAAAAGCCCACAAGCCCTAAATAGTTGACTCAAGCATAAGACTGTGGGATGTCTATTGTATTTTGCTCAATTTTAACATGTTCTAAAAAATTGGGCAATGAAAGTATACCTTAATTTTTCTGAAAAAAAAAATTCAAGTTTTTTTAATGTATAATTTTTGCAATGGCAGTCATAAATGCAGAAAATGCTGCCCACAAGTCTGAGAAGTTCAGTGCTATGGCCAGAAGAACAAGACACGAATACCTAAAAGATCTGGCTACAAATTTTGTCACGAATACCACACTAGAAACCGGGGCCAAAGGAAAAGGTATGGTACACTGTACCTCATGTGAGAAGGAATCAGTCATGACCTATAAAGAGTAGTGGACAACAGTTAAATTTAGGGAAAATTTCCTTGATTAAATAATACTCAAAATTGATGATTGCAAAGCTGGTGCAGCTGAGGTTTAATTGTTTTAAAATCTTTGATTGATTCTGTGACCAAGGTGCAGAGTTATGAAATAAAATAATGGTGGAATCAACAGTACAATGCTTTTGTGAAAGCCCAGAGCTGGAAAGTCAGATTTCTGGGTCAAGGGCCTTCAGAACTAAGTGACTAATCAAAGGGCACAGATTTGACTGATAATTAAACTTGTACATTTTACAACTTCTAGGAGTGATTGACATGTAACCTTTCCATATTATATCCAGGGCTCGACACTAATGGTAGCCAACTAGCCGCAGACTAGTAGAAATTCAGTTTTGGTTAGTGGTTTTTTATTTCCACTAGCCAGTTTGGCTAGTAAACAAACTGAAATTGTTGTAACATCTAAGTTGTCACTAACCACTTGGCTAGTAGGTTGAAAAGTTAGTGTCGAGCCCAGATATCCATTCATTATCCAGCAAGCATTTTAAAAAATATTTAAACTAATCCAGGGGTTTCATTAAGCGCTGGGCACCGGCCAAATTGACTGGTTGTAAGGACGGTTTTGCCGACCACGTTTAACAATCTGGAGGAAGGTTTATCTTATAAAGAAGTTTAGTTCAAAAAGTTTTGCCCGCCTGTGAAAACCAGTTGCCCTCCTGCTGAAAAAATTAATGAAACCCCTGCTAATCAGGTAGACGTTATTTTATCTTGATCTAACACCAATTTCTTGCAACTATAAATAAAAAAAAAATGTGCATCAGCTATACTGTAGAAGGGAGAAGTAACAATCTGATCTCAGAATTTAAAGGGTTAACAGAGACTTGAAACACAGGCATACAAAAAAAGCAAATTAGAACACCACATCTTTTTTTACTTCGGATTTCTATTAACTTTTTGTGAAGTCATCATTTTTTTTTTCATAGGAATCTTGAGATCAACTAAGAAGAAGGAGAAAGTTCATCCTCCCATTTCTCCTGAAAAAGTCTCCAGAGGAGCATTGGTTTGGAATGTACAGGTAGATGCATAAAATATCTTCAGAAAATAATGTTGTGTGTGTATCGACTGTGTACATGTAGCAGTATTTAATGGCGAAAATTATATGAACTCATTTTGGAAGACATGAGACGAGCATGGTTGAGTGGTCAGCAGCATGTTTGACTCGCAATGTAGAGGACCTGGGCCCATTTTTCTGCCTTGGCCATCACACGTCACCGTCATAAAATAAAGGGAATGATCATCAACTGAACAAGCACTTGATTGTTAAACACAATTTTCTCATGAGCACTTTAGGAAATGTATTGAAAACAGTATGGGGAATATGGGTACCGACTCATGGAGGGTGTAAAGAGTTAAGGATGTGCACATGTGTGTCAATTGCAGGTTGAAGATTACAGGAATGCCTCTATGATTGAGTGTAAGATGGGAATCTCTGCAGAGACTCTGGTACTCATTCACTCCTCGAGCAAAGTAAGTGATCAAGGAGAACCTTCATGTGGTATAGTTTGATTGTTAAGGAGGCACTGACTTGTTGAGAATTTTGGTCAACAAGAGAGATTTACATGTCACACTTCTATCATTTTTCACAAAGAATCACAACCTTGCTCTGCTGTTAATCAGTGCAAATGCTTCATTTATCTCATTCATCTCATCCGTTTATTCTTTATTTATTTATTTCCTTTCAGGAAGTGCTATTTAGCATTCCAGCTAAGTCAGTTATAGGGTGGACTTCCTTATCACAAAGGTATTCATTTTTGGCAACAAAGCCTCTTGTCTTTCTTTACATGTGAAGTAAATTGAAGTGTCTACATGTAAATGTACAAGTTGGAGTCTTTGTTTAAGATGTTATCTTTAATCTCTCAACCCTTAAGGGGGACTGGTATCTAATCTTAATCTCTAAAGGGGGACTGGTATCTAATTTTTCTGTACAATATCACTCCTGAATCAAAATTAAGGTCATGAAAGTAAAAGAAAATGGATCTCATGATTGTGAAACAAATTCTTCATGTCAACACCTTAGGAAATGTACAGTGTATTTGGGTGTAAAAGGTTGGTACAATCCTTCTACAGGTAGGTTTTTTCACATTTCATTATATTTTCTTCTGTCTTTTTAATATATGTACCTTTGTTTGACAGCATCAAAGTGTTTTATGGCAGTGGTTATTGCCTGGTGTTGAATATTCCAACCCCTGATTCAGATGATATCCCAGAGATTGTCAGACGACTGGAAGAGATCTCTATTGGTTGTCAGGTAAAGCAGTATGTTTGTTGCGCTCAAATGTCAGAAATGGGCTGTTAGAGCCTTCCACGATTATTGACAAACTACAGAAGTTTAAGGGAGTGTCATTTTTTACTAGCTAGGACAATTGTTTTATATGTTATTTCCCTTTGTGTTTGGAGGTGGTTCTACAGGGCAATGGGTTTAAAACGAAACCGATTACAGTTGATGGAGAGCAGATACCTTTACATATAAAATTATTTTTCACAAGACAAGTGTTGGTCAAAAAGATGTCAAAGTCATTCATTAAAATTTTAACTTGAACTTCACTGGATTAACGGTCCAGTTGTTCAACAACAAGCTGCAGAGACCTCAACTGCGTCAGTAAACCTGCCCAGTAACCCAGTAACCCAAACCGTATCTCGTTATAAAACAGACCTTTCCTTTTACCAACCCAGCGGGGCAAATTGGAGATAAAAATGCAACCTACGTGTAAGAGTTGATTTTTATTACTTTTAGACTCAAACGATGACTTTGCGGCGAAATGGCATGGGTCAGTTAGGATTCCATGTACAGTTTGAAGGCCTCATTGCAGATGTCGAACCTTCTGGATTTGCCTGGCAGGCCGGGCTAAGACAAGGATGCAGGCTTGTGGAGGTTTGTGGAAGAGGATATACAATGTATTGTACACATAATAATTTTGTGAAAGAGGTTCGTTAGTATTTTCTTGAAAGGGAGAGCATTTACAATGTGGACTTTCCCACGTTGCGAGAATATGAAATTTATTCTTTGTAATGAATAGTAAATAGTAATAGTAATCAAAGTTTAATGTCTTTACGTGGGGCATGGTTACCCATATTGCCCGAGCCAGAGGCTCATGTATGAAACGCAAGATAACAACCCCCCTCCTCCCCATCCCCCCCCAGGGGAGGACATCCATCACACAGTAATCAGTTTATTTCTTGTGCGTGGGAAATTAACGTCTCCTACCCCTAACTCTGCAGGAGACGCGACCTCCATTTATTCGTCCCTATCCGTGAAGACTAGAATATCTAAACCATTTCTTGATGTTATAGAAAGGCAGCTTAATCTTCTCAATTATTTTAAGACCTTGAGTGTTGGTCCGGCCGGGGCTCTGTACATTGAGCTAACCGGGAGGCGGTTAAGTAAAGAAACGCAAACTTACATATCTGATTGTAAAAGCTTATTAAAGTAATTTTTATAGGTTAACAAGGTGTTGATTGATGCTTAATTTAATGTACATTTACTCTTACAGCAAGGTCCTTATTTATTATTTTCATACAGTTTTTGCAATGAACTGCTATATTCTGCGTTTACGTTAGTAATACATTGGTATATTGTTAATTATTATTTATGCAGATCAACGGGATGATAGTAGCTACACTGAGTCATGATCAGATGATTGACATCTTACGTAAGCCAGGTTCAGTGACGGCTGTGATAGTGCCTCCTTTCCCGAATGGAAACCCAAGAAAGTGCGTATTACTAGTTGTCTAGGGGGAACATAACAAAACTGAAGTGTTTTGTTATGTTCCCCCTGTTTCCAGCTGTTTACAGGGTTATTTATGACTCAACCCGCGTTGATAGTAACCCAGGGGTATCTAGTGACTCCCGTCGTGTTGTTATTACCCCAGGGGTCAACCACATGTGGGTATGCAGAGACACATGAACACCCTATCTATTTCTTACCCCAGAGCTGTGTAGTGACCTACCACATGTTGTTTTAATACCGTGCGGTTTTCTTACACCAGGGGTACATTGTGACTCACCTTAGATTCATGTTACCATAGGCAAGCATAGCAGCTCGCCATCTTTCTTTTCTTAACCTAGGGGTATGTGTGACTCAATATATATATATTTTTTTACCCCAGGGGTATCCAGCCGAACACTGGTTCTTACTGGAGCTCTTCCAGTCGTACCTCGGTCACGACCATGTCGTCATTCGGTAGTGCGTCTTCAGTAGCGGAGGAAGGTGAATCACGTGATCACTCGGCAGCCTCTTCTTCATCCATATCAGCCCCTGACACTGGCAGAAAGCAGCCGTCAAAAGGTTCGGCCTCCAAGCACGATGTGAAAGGGAAGGAGAGTCCATGGATCATGCGCTCGAATAATGCGACCTCTATGGATGGCGGGTAAGATTGAAATAGTCACGCTGTTATGATGTGTTTTGAGGTTTAATTGTCTTGGAAAATGTTTCATCATACAACCTACAATGTTACTGTGTAACTCATTGGATGGCCGACGCATTATAGGTGTCAACCGACTGGTTCTTACTTTTATCGTACACAGTCTTTCTTGCTCTACTTTCCTTTCCTTGTATCACATCTAATTGCTGTAGAGAAAGTGCTTCTTTAAATCGTGAACTGGTAAGTATCCTGAATTTCAGAGATACCACTTTCAGTTCACGGTCAAGTGTGGAGGAGGGAAAGCAAACTTTGCATGTTGCTCGGTGGTCGTCGCTCGCTTTGAATACGTCCATGATAATATCTTTTAAATCGTATTGTTTCCATGGTTCAAGGCGTTCTGTTGAAGATGTCCTCACTCAAACTTATTTTTTCCTCTCTCAGAGCTACATACTCAGGCTTCCGTCCTCTCGACCCACCGTTGTCGCCTGGTGCGAGCTCAGCCTCGTCTGTCAGCGGCAGCACGTCAACGCTTCACGAAACATCACGACAACAAGGTGCTTCATACGGGGCTTCATACACTGTGACAAGTATTACCCCTAGAGACACTAGACACCAGGCTACTTCTGAAGCACACCTTGCACCAAAATGGAGCGGGCATTTAGCACAAGATTCAGATCCACGGCCAGCCAAGCCCGTTGGTGTGACATTAAAGGCCCATACTGCTTCAGGCACATTATATGCCATCGCCAGCGGACCCTCATCTCCGCCAGCGTCTCCGCGCACTCCAGAGACCCCCATATTTGGAAGTACTTCACAGAGACATCGCAGAGTGGTCCTGAACGGTCAAGGGGATAGCAACACGCCTATTAGGTTAGAGGGAAGTGCACAAGATGCGAGACTGCCAGCGGACAGTTATGGTACTGTTCGTGTGAACATTGAATCATCAGCATCAACGCCAAATAACAAAGCGCGTGAACTAGATGTCTCCAATGGTGAGGTGATGCAAGCTGCTGCTTTGCCTTTTAAAGAAACAAGTCTTGGAGCTGTGATTACCACTGTCAATACTTACAAACAAAAACAAAGCTACGAAGACTTAAGCGAAGCCTCCATGTCTGACACCGTCGATCAGATTGAACGCGCGTTTGGTTTCAAAACACCTGACATGATCGCGAACGGAACTGGAAGCCTGGAGCGGAACAACAGCATGCGAGGGAAACACGGAGACCGGAGTCCTTCCAGTTCCATGCAGGACATTCACCTGACTCGTCGTGTACAGTCGGGGGATTCACTGAATCGATACAGGAGCAGTGATGATGAAGAATCTCCTGGAAATATTCTGAAACGACTGTCAAAAGAAGCCAGCAGGGAGCAAGACAGAATGAACCAGAGAAAGAGCGAAGGAGATCTACCTCATAATGTGATTAAAAGCAGGACAACCACTGTAGTCGAAGCGTCACCGACATCGGTTGAAGTCAAGAAAGAAGCCGCAAAGAAATCTGAATACGAAGCGCGAATAGCCGCTAGGAACCTGCTTATAGAACGCTTGGAAAATCACAGGCAATCACTCGAAAGCCACAACGTAGAGGGGATCAAAGTTTACCATGCTAAGAGCAGAAGTACGCCGGCTGATGGGGCGAGAAGGTTAAATGGCGAAAAATTACCCAAAGCGCGGCAGACCTCGCAGGATGATAGTGCGAAGAACTCTCTAGAGAGGGAAGGTGTGGATGGAGTGGGAAAAGGTGATCATTATTTGAGGCGGAAGAAATCTGCTCCTGAATCGCCAAATATCAAAATAATTCGTACTCCAGATAGTTACCGAGCAACCAAACCGGTGGTACGCTCTGAACGAAAAATCCGCCTGACAAGTTCTACGAGTTCGAGTGGTCAGACGCCGGAAAAAAGTCAAACAGTACCCCGTCAGAGATCTAGTCGGCGACAGAGGCATGCTTCCAAACAGATGGCTGCTGCTAATGGTGGAAACTCAGATTCATCAGATGAAGGACGTAATAATCGATTTTCACGAAGTGGAGATGCCATCGATGCCAGTCCATCCGTAGTTGAAAAGCTTCTCTTCACACCCGATAACAACAAAAAGTCGAAGAGCCTCCCGCGCGAGTTGGAGACAGGAGCAAATGACTCGCGCGCTATGCGGAGCCATCGCTCGCATTCCCACTCGCACTCATCGCATCTCAAAGGAGCACGCATTACCAAGATTAAAATGAGCGCAAGCGAGGAACCCAATGATTCTATCGTGGATCAGACCTCGCGGCTGTTGCATGCGGCTAAAGCCGTCAAATACGACAAAGGATCGTCCCTTGTCATAGCTGAAGATGTGTTGCACTCACTGACGCGCGCTTCTGATTTGCTCCATCATCAGTCGTCGGTTGCCAGGGAGGAGAAGGAACGAGACAGGAAGGATAAGGAGAAGTCGCTTAGCAGAATAAAGGCACCTGGTAAGTGTCAGGTCGTGGGGGAGGGGACGCAGGAACTGTTGGGGTTGGAGGTGGTGGAGGGGGTGGAAAAATAGGGAAAGGTGTGGAAAGGGGGGATAATCAGGAATAAGAGGGGATAATGTACGGTATAGTTCGAATTTCATTAATTTTTTTTCCTTCTTTTTTAGTGATGTGCTTCTATAGTGAATTTCAGCTTGAATTTTTTTGCGTGCTTTTGGTGCGTACTCTTTACATTTGGGTGTTCAAAGCTTGGTAGAAATTACTCTAGAGGATTTGATAAGAGCGAAATATAATTAACTTTTATAATTATTATTAAGGCAGCCGCTTTCCTTGTGATACATCTCATGTCATTGTTCCTTTATGTCATGGTCTGAAGACTCTAAGGCGAGTTGTTTGTGTTAAGTAAGCGCCAAAAATAACCTGTGAATATTAATTTCTGTTGGAGTTGGCGTGACGGCTTAAATGACAAGTCAGATGCCGCGTGAAGCCGCATTCGGTTTCGTTAACTGTGTCATGAATGCGGGGAAATCAGATCGAACTGCGGGCAAGAGAAAATGGGATTTAAGGACTATTTTTGGAGTTTCAAAATCATGTCAGCAGCTACAATATCCAAAAAATTTGGGTAAGGAACCATAGATGTCTATTTTCGATCTCTTTTGGCTAAGTGATGCGAGCTTTAAGCGGGTAAAGTTCACTAGAGCCAGATACAGTCGCGTGAAGTAATCACAGCTCCAAGCCTCAGTGAATAGCAATCCACAAACAAAGAATTCAATTCTGTTTCTTCCTAACGTCGACAGATTGTTGAGAAAAAATGAATTGCTTTTGTTTTTCGGTAGAGACCTTTTAGTTGGCCTGTGTTTTGTCGTATTTGATTAATTAAACTAGGAACAAAGAAGCCAGCGAAATTGTTTACATGACATTTTGACTCGAATTTGTGCTGAATTTACAAGCTTTGTGCATCGTTAATTGCATTTTTTGTTGAAAGAAACTAATCTTGTCGTGGAATTTCACTGATCCTTCGAATTAGTGTCTGAGATACTACTTGTGGCTCGTAGATATTTCCGTTCAATATCTGAATAACCAATCCATGCAGTTTTTACGCTTTCATCGCCTCACTGTACGAGATTTACAGTACGAAACCATTTCTTGAACTATGAATCGTCGGAAGATAAGTTGCCCGCGATCATTTTACTCCAAATTGGAAAGAAATTCTTGAATGAGCTAATAGCAAGGAGACGGAACCTCTAGTTTCGCTGTAATCATGATTTTGTTTTGTTCTGACGGTGGAACGTTTTCATGTTCGAGTCCGATTTTAACCAAGTGCTAATGTAAATCTGATAAAGTGTTCAGTTGGTTGTATAGCTTCGGCGCGGGGCGAAGTCGCTGACTGCTCTCATATTGACAGAGATAACCGGCATGTGCGTGCAGTTTCCTTCCTTTCCTACTGTGAAAAACGCTTCCTGCATGCTCTACTGTACTGTCACGACGCGTACGTAAATTTCCTGGTCGATTTGTTTCAGACAACATTAGGACGCGGACTTTGTGTTGCTATCGGCATTGTTTTGGCCTCTTGACTTGGCACGGTTATATTTTTTTAGAGTTTATTTTTTGTCTTAGTTATGTTACCCATTTACATTTGCTTATCAATGTTTTCTTTGCGTGATGTTTATGTTTTGCCCCACACTGAAAGGTTTACCTGTCCTGCTCGATCATTAAGTGCTCTTATTTCGCTGTTTTAATCTTGATCGTGATAATTAACGATGAAGTCAAAGTGGTTTAAGAAGACATTTATGCAGCTTAATCTATTAATTTCATTGCTTCCCCTACGATTTGTCAGTTCCCTCCGCGAGCGTTGTGTGATGTTTGGGTTGTACGAGGAAGTCAGACGCTTTCATTTACTTACTACTGACGTGTCTCGGTTGCCTTCTGTTTATCGTAAAACATAATAGCTAAATGTAGCTGACGCTGATAGAGGACATCAACCCCTGGTGACCTTCTTAGGGCTTGTCACTTTACACCGGAAGTGGTGCGTGTGTTGGTAAAGTAAAATTTACAACGGAAGCTGTTTCAGTTAAAGATGTGTTTCTCGAAGACTGTAAGAAAATAATTCGAAAGAATACCCATCAATAATTCTTGAAATAATGTTTTTTATTCATTGTTTTAATATTTCTTTTCACTTTGATAAATTTTTGTCATTAAAATTGTAGCGGTCCAATATGTATGACATTTTTGTTTCGATGCTATCATCTTTCTATAAGTTATTCTTGTCAACATAGGTGAAGAGCATAACTTTGAACCTGTTCTGTGCGTGACTTCCTGAGAAAAGCGACACTTTTCGGTTTTCTATAATCTCAGATCCAAAAATATCGCGGTACACGGGAAACTATTCCTTTCATTCTTTCAAAGAACCTCTTTCGTGACAAGTAAGTTGAAGTTTGAAAAAAACCCATAGAAAATAGGCAATTTACAACAGAGGAGACAGCAGAAGGTCTAATCATCCAAGTGGATAAATAGTAAGAAATGTGAAAATACAGACTCAACTTTGCGCTAAAAATTAAAAAAAGCACTTGTCAGTTGTTGGAAACTTAGTTCTTGTTTTGTGTGGTTATTTTTGTTGAAATGCTCCATTTTGCCTGAACATACAGGCGTGGTTCAGTCAGTTCATTCCCAACACTTCAAGTGCTTGTTAAGTTTCTTTCCCTGAGAACTGCCCTCTTACAAACATTTTTCTCAGCTATTCTCCACCAGGTTTGCTCATCGGTCAGATAATGTAACTTTGGAACTCAAACTTCAAGGGTTAAGTGTGAATATAATTTAATCATGTTAAAAAATGAGATCACTATTTTCGATTAATAACTATGAATCGTCGGATCAAGAACCAAGTTTGATAAATGTCCAATTTCTCCTAACACGTTCAGAAGTTTTTAACCTCAGTTATAATGAGTGACCGACCTCATCAATCATGTCAGGAATAAAGGCTGATAGTTTCGAAAGAAACTGTTTGGGGCTGCGTCGGTGGGAGTAACGAAATAATTTGGATATATCAACAAAGTTGATATATCCTTCGTCGGAGCTCCGACGAAGGGCTAACGCTCGAAACGTCAGCTTTTGTTATCGTTACGGTGGCCAATTTACATCTCAACTTTGTTGATATATCCAAATCATGTCAGGAGATTGTTACTTAAAGCGTTAAAGAGAGGAGAGCTACTCAAGAGGGTTCAGCAATTTGCATGATCCACTCCTTCTCTAGAAACGTCAGGTGCAATCGTTTAATGAACTTGCGACCGCCCACAGTTTATCTGAATGGATGCACTGTAGCGTAATAACCGAACCTACAGCCTTCATTATGACGAGCACCACGTTCTGATATGTACAACAATGGTGCCTCGTGAACGGCTGTCAGTCATTTTTAGTTCATAGTCTTCCTTCCCATGCCTGTCTCCGACTCTCTGCCTCCCAAACCTGTCCGAATCCTCTGGCGAACAAACGTACGGCCGTCGTCGGCCGATGCTGGTGAGCTGTCGTAACTAACGTTCAAACGTAACTGATTGAACCTTTGTTAATATTGTTTTTCTTGATGATTTTCAGGCCGTGGTCGCTCACATGGACCCCACAAGTTTTACATCCCTGTTGTGCCCAGGAGACACAGCTTTGATGAAAGAATATTCGCCGCACCGGTTAGTGAAACGTTTCATTTCCGATTGTGAAAATCCCAGTTTTGGAATGTTTACATAACGTTTAAACTGATTGAGTTGATGAAGGAAGAACGGCACTAAATATTCCATATTAAACTGCTTTACGAGCATTGTCATTTACGATTGTGGAGCAAAAGATTTGTGAAAGATCTAATCGTAAATTTCCCTCCTCATCAACAGTGACCGTTACACTATTTTTGTCCAGTTTTAAGCAACTGAAACAAATTGATGTTGTTATTTGTGTGCATTGCTTCACCGTTTGATAAGGTTACTGAACGTTGTGTATAGCGATGGTTAGAATATCTCCTTTTGTCGAATGGCGGGCTTTAACTTCAGCTATATTCCAATTTGCTCAAATCAGGTTTGCAGGAGACAGATAAGAAAAAGAATACTGATTAATTTGAGTGGAACAAATTTTAGCTCAAGTTGGCTTAGAAGCATTCAGGTTAAATTGGAGAAAATTGAACGCACTGTTGCGACCAAAACAGCAAATTGTATCATTAAATGCTTTGGCTTGGTGTGTTTCTTATCCTTGCCATCCTCATTCTATCGCTTCAGGCGTGTATGAGTCATGTACCTAAATATACAGCTAGTTAAATATACAATTTTCCTTCTCAACAACAGTTGGTTCCTGAATACATCTGCCAATGTTCTTACTTGATTGTTAACTGTCACCTAGAATCTTCTGCTTAATAAAGCTATATTTCATTTTGATTTTGAAGAAACTATCGAAGAACGTTAGATTTACAAGTTTGAATGTTGTCTTATCTTGAGATCAAGAGATTGTTAATGGGCTAGAAAGACAATAGTTAAATACTTCAAAATAATGCCCAGTGAAAGCTATAAGGAATTTTGACTCCGCCATATTTAAACACCGAAAGAACATTAGTTTTAACCTTCACGTATAGCAGAAAAACTTTGTTCACAATGCGTCACGTTAGAGAAACTTGCAGTTCTACTCAATTTTTTTTTTAATTTTAAGTTTATCTTCTTAAGTTTTGTCTACAAGCTAAAAGCTTTGAAAGCCTCATCAAATTCACTAATTAGAAAACAAGAATGTAAACTTTTGAATTATTTTAATTAGATCATTTTTATCATTCTTCGGTAGTGCAGCGGCAAGCATTTCGCTACGTAAACTGTATTTGATTGTGGACGGCCACACATACTTAACTCACTTGCTAACGCTTGAATTTTTATTCGACTAACCAGTTATGTTTTCGTCACGGTCAAATGCTTAGTTTGTGATGTCGTTGCTTGCTCACAGTAAAACGAATTGAAAGAGTTATTGCAATTCGGCATGTACTAAAATTAGGAACACCAGAACACCGGAACACCGGAACACCATGGAACACTGGAACACCCCGGAACACCCCGGAACACCACGTAACACCGGAACATCCCCGGAACACCGAATTTGACGATGTAAAAAAATAAAATGTAGATGTAATTTGTTTACCCACGTAACACGAAAGAGCTTAGAAGCTAGAAGCAGGCGCTAAATATATAGTTTCTTAATGTTTCTTATCTTATTTCTTTGTGGTATAAATAAATGTTGTTGTTGTTCCGGTGTTCCTGGTTTTAGCACATGCCTTGCAATTCAAATCACGACAACTTTGATGACTTGTTTGTTTGGTCTTCTTACAGAGCGCCAAAGGCAATTCTGGTGAAAGGTGAGTCTTGTGTGGACTTGTTTGTTCTTCTAAAGTATTCCTTTAAGTTACCTTGGCTATTTCCATTAAACTCAAGTAAGGCAATGACCCTTGTACGTGTAAGGGTCATTAATTTAAGTAATTGCAGGAAAGAAGCCTGAAGAACCAAAAAAATAAAAGAAAGTCAGGCTTCGGCGGGATTCGAATCAGTGCTTCCCAAATACTAGTTTGGTGCTATTTCCAACTGAGCTACGAAGCCTCACTCATTTTCGCAGGGTCTTCTTTCCTTTGAGGAATCTGATTGAAGTAAGCTGTTTTCATCCTTAAGTCATTGAGGCGTGGCCCAGCTAACTGTAAATGTTTAGTTCTGTCAGAAACTTTTTTTCTGAGTGAAATCTTTGCTTAGCTTGGTACTGCTTATAACTCTACATTACCAGGTTCTTTTCCGCTGAGTTTGATCGAGAATTTTTTACAATAGTTTTCTCCTCCAACATTTTCAATATAGTACTTCTTCTGTATTGTCCTTTGCGGACCTCGGCTCTCAAAATGTCAACCGCCAGGGCTCGACACTAATGGTAGCCAACTAGCCACAAACTAGTAGAAATTTAGTTTAGGCTAGTGGTTTTCGATTTCCACTAACCAGTTTGGTTAGTAAATAAACTGAAATTGTCGTAAAATTTAAGATGTCACTAGCCACTTGGCTAGTAAGTTGAAGAGTTAGTGTCGAGCCCTGAGTCTGTAGTGAAGGAATTTCTGTTTAATTGCTTTTGACTTTTTAAAAACTTATTTGTACACGATCCTCGCAGTAAAGAGCACAATTTAAGGTGGCTGAACACAGTTTTTGCGCGCGCTTTTGCTGATGCAATTCAGCGTGCGCACCAGGGATTGCAAAAAACAAACATGCCGTCAATAGAGCGGTCATTTTATTTACCCAACACGTACCCGCACTATCTGTGCTATTTTTCTCTATAGTTGGCGCAGTGTATTGAGGGCTTTTATCTTTTATTACAAAGATATGTTAGAAAAGTTAACGGTGCAAAGAACCCAGCAATTCTCAGCTTTTTCGTCGTTACCGAAAGAACCCAGTTAAATGCAGTGCATGCGTAGTAAGTAAAAAAATTGCGATCGAATGGAAAATTGCTTTCTCGGAAATATGCCTATTTCCTGAGAACCACTCCTTAGAATTTCACGAAATTTGGCACGAAAATACCTTAGGAAATAAGTAACTAGAGTATTGAGAAAAATTGATTTTAAACAAAGGAAATTCTAGAAAATCGAGTGAACCTTCAACAAGGGAGAATTAAAGATCTCTCTGTTAAATTATTAGCAAAATGGTGTTAACTTGTGAGTATCGTTAGGTAAGGTAAACTTTATTTGGTAAGTAGGTTGAGATTGTTTGGCAGCCGAAGGGCTGATGTGGACCTACTATACACAATCAAAATTTGACAAACACAAAAGATATTAACAAAAGAATAAAAGCTATGCACAGGGAGAACACAATATATTTACATGCAAAAAAACTGAGATTTACAAGAGCCTATATGAAATATTAATATAATGCCAGAAATTAAAATGCTTAAAAGTATGTAAAATCATCTTTTTTTGCGGTGATCAAGTCGCTTCCTTGCTAAAAGAATACCCCGCAATGTCCCTGGTGTGTTTCTTTAATATCTGCTTATAGGAATTACAATTTTCAGGCACTTTAACTAGTCTATTTAAAAAATTCCAGATTACAGGGCCTCTCTACTGTAAAGTGTTTCTTCCAGTATGAGATTTAAACCTAATAATATTAGATTGATTAGGAAAGCGAGTTGACCTAGAAGTTGTCTTTTTAGAGAAAAGTTCTTGAACAGATTGACACGAAGTTTCAAAATACACTTTGTGCATTGACGTAAGAACAGACTTTTTGTAAAAGTAAGAGAAGGGTAGCCAATTTGATTTACTGAGACAGATATCATCATCCAGCGACGGTTGTCTATAATGCGGGAAGCTCTTGCGTGGATAGAGTTCAGAGAATTCATTGCAGAGGGTGAGCAATTTCCCCATCCAGAGATACTATATGTTACGCTGGGAATAATAGATTTGAAATAAATTTCCTCGAGTGACTGATTAGGAAGAATGTTCATTCTCTTTAATGCTCCAACTTTTTGTGTGAAATGCTTCTTCACTGAATCAATGTGCACAGACCATGCCGGAAAGTCTATTGTCGATTTTAACTCCTGGGCAAGTGGTAGAGTCAACCAGGTTAATTAAGCTTGTCCCAAACTAAAGGGGAGGAAGAGGACCAACAAGCTCGATGCATGCAAATTATAAAGAAAATCTAATGACTAGATTTTCTACAAAGAAACAAGACCGATTTTAATTGCCTGTTTATATCTATTCATGTCGCCATAGCAACGGCACATACGTCAGCCCAACTATCAAAAAAACAAAGTTTGTGTTGTTAACTTGCTTGCTGCCAGTTTTGGCGATTGAGAGATCAAGAGTTTTAGAGAAAATGGTGAGAGAAACAAAGGTATCAAAAACTGTGTTCAGCCACCTTAAGCAATAGTGAAAATCAGACCTGAAAAAATTCAGGCCTGTGCGGGATTCGATCCACTGACCTCTGCGATACTAGTGCAGCGCTGTACCGATGGAGCTAACAAAGCAACGGGGAGCAGGTCATCCAATTAGTCCGACTTAAACCCGTAAGATGATAAATCAAACACAACGAATATATGAAATTTATATATCTGAACTGCGGTTATAGAAAATATTGCTTAAATAGTGCTGTTTACTGCGGGGTTGGTGAACAAATACGTTTCTATAACCGCAGTTCGGATATATGAATTTCATATATTCGTTGCGTTTGATTTATCACCTTACGGGTTTATTTCGGATTAATTTGATGACCTGCTCCCAGTTGGCTTGTTAGCTCAATTGGTAGAGCGCTGCATTAGTATCGCAGAAGTCAGTGGTTTGAATCCCCTACAGGCCTGATTTTCACTATTGCTTGAATAGTGCTCTTTACTGCGAGGATCGTGCACAATTACGTTTCTATAACCGCAGTTCAGATATATGAATTTCATATATTCATTGTGTTTTGACTTTTTGTTATCAATTTCAGTTTGCTCACTAGAGAGAGTATCGGAAAGGAAGCAGAACTTGAGATGAAACTTGCAATTGTGTCAAACGCCTTGATGAAGGTACAGTATTTTCCGTTGCAAAGACTTATATTTAGTTTTGCTTTAGCC